TAATTTATACAGAATTTATAAATCTTACAATTTTATTCCGTTTTCTGGTTGGACGGTACTATGGATGAACTTTTGAACGTTTTAGAAGATACCGCTGCGCTCTTAGTCTACGGGCACGAAATTTGCGATGGCTGAGCGATGGCGGCAGCGGGGCGACGCGACACGGAGCGGGTAGGCAGCGATATCTCGCGCGGGCACGAAACAAGCTGGCGGGCAGTCGCGCTTGAGCAGTGTTGTGCGAATCATGAGTTTACGTCGAAGAGAACTATTGGAGCCTAGTCTCCTATTGAGAGAATTATTATTACCTAGAGATGGTGTTCATCCAATAAATCAACGAAGACGCAATTTGGGAGAATTTTCTACGCTTTATTGCGAGCTAAGGTGTCATTCTTCAATGAAATTTTAAATTCCTTGTTAAATTATAAATTCCTCATTATCATTTCCATTAGCTAAACATAATAATTCAACACAACACTGTGTTATTCTTCGCTGCAATGCTGACGAAACCAAACTAGTTTGTTCTCGTCGCTTCCGCGTCGCCGTCGCCCCATCATCGCCCGTACATCGCTCGATCGCCCCGCTCCGCCATCGCCCGTTTCGTGCCCGTCCCCATACTGTGCAATGCTTTTGTATACATCGCCGTCGCGCCGCTGTCGCCATCGCTCGGCCATCGCAAACCTCGTGTCCGTAGACTTAAACAAAACTCAAATTAATTTGAAGAAATGTCCAAAAGCTAGATTGACAAGAGGTTATGTAGAAGCAAGAATCAAATGTATCGAAGAATATTGGACTACATTTAAGCAAACGCATCTACAATTGGTAAAAATAACACCGAAAGAACAAAGACAAGAGTTACCATATTTTCAAAATGAAGATTACTTTGTGTTCGAAGATTTGTATCTCGTCTTGTTAGCCGATTTAAAAGATCTTTTGCAATCTTTCACACAAGCAGCCGCGCCGAGTACTTTAACGTCCTCACCAAATAATTCTAAGATTATTGCGGATACCGAAAACCTTGTTCGGTTACCGAGAATCGAATTACCTAAATTCACTGGAAACTATGAAGGTTGGCCTACGTTTCAAGACCTATTTACCTCCTTAGTGGATAAGAACCCGGCTTTAAGTGACGTACAAAAGTTACATTATCTTAAGAGTACAGTCAGCTGCGAGGCAGAAACATTATTAAAACCTATTCAAGTCACGGAAAACAATTATAAAAAAGCATGGAATATTTTGAAGTCAAGGTATGGAAATAAAAGATTAATAATTAACTCAGTTTTGAAGAAATTATTTAATCAGAAGAAAATTAGTTCTCAGTCTGCAAATCAATTAAAAAATTTATTAGACGTCACGACAGATTGTTTGAATAATTTAGAAAATTTAAATATACCTACGACCTCCTGGGATCCTATAATTATATTCCTTGTGATACAGAAGTTGGACCCGGAGTCTCACAAAGAATGGGAGCAGACAGCTTATTCAAAATCAGAGGACGAACTACCAACTTGGGAGAATTTAAAAGATTTCCTGCAGTCAAGATACCGTACCTTAGAACTTGTATTGTCCGTGTCAGGGACTTGTAGCAGCCGTGACAAA